CCCTGCCAGACACAAACAGAGCCTGCTGCTTGCCTCCCTCTCTGCCCCTTGCCCTCCTTCCCTCACCTGGCACCACTGCTCTGGCATGGTGCCTTCAAGAGCAGCAGACAGGCAGAAGTCTTGGGCTTTGTTAAGGCGTCCAGTCGTTCATAGTGGGAGTCCACTCTTGCCAAGGGGAACATTCCCAAAGTGAGTAACCTCACCCTTCCCAGTTCCATCCCTCCTGAACAGGGAGATGTCCCTCCATCCTACCCATACTTCTCAACACCCTCTTGGTAAACACCCTTCCTGGAGCTACCGGTTCCTTGCAGATGGTTCTCTTCATGTCCTCTAGGCCACACAGAAGGAACCCTTTGGCCCCCCCTGCTTCACTAGGCATGGCAGGGCCTCCACCATCCTGCACAGCTGTGGTACTCTTTGCTACAGCCTCTCCAGCTTCTCTCTTGAGAACCTGGCAGCCCACAGCTGATTTCTTGATGTCAGCTTTGTCTTTCCCAGCCTCTCTCAATGTCTCAATTGGCCATGCTTCTAGAAGCTCCTGCAGCATCTTGCTTTGCAACTGCTGAGAGCCCATGGTTGGATCTGCTCCTGTAGAGCCTCTAGGCTCCATGCTGGACCCACAGCACAAGTTTCTCATTCTTGCAGATCTCTTTCCCCGCACTAAATATTAACTAAGGCAAAGAAAAGGAGATCCTATCCAACAGCCACATTACTAGCCCACATGGTGTCTGAGAACAGTGATCTCTCTTTCCTAACTGCCTTTACCCTTTGTTTTGTAGCCCAGCTGCAGGAGATGATGGGTAAGTGGTCTCTGCTGTCAGGGGTGTTGCCATATGGGAGGGAAAGGCTCCTTGGCAGAGGGACTTGCTTGTGTCTGTGTGACAAGTGTCTCTCCCTGTGGGCCATGAGCATGGTGACCCTGGGGTCTCTGCATCAGGTGTCCATCTTCAGGAAAACCAGCTGAAGCCTTAAGGTGTGGCTGAAATCTGTGTAGTAGGATTGCCTCTGAATAAAGTTCATGTGCAAGAGAAGGAAGAGGGAAGGAATAGGAAAGAGACAGAGAAAAAGAAGGCAGGAAGGCAGGAAGGCAGGGAATTGGAGTGGGCTGGAGCAATATGATTTTGAGTCTGAACAGAAGCCACCTTCTGTGAGGTCTTTTAAGTCTATCTGGGTGGACTTGGAAAGTTGCCTTTGTTCTGTTGTGAGACACCAGCTTCCTCAAGGTTTCTAGGCCAGGACTTTGCCTCAGCACACACCTGCACTAGTGAATCAATGCATCTATGTTTCTCGGGAACTTGCCAACTCCACAAACCCTTTCCCCGGGGCTTCATGCACCTCATCCTCCACCTGCCATAACAGCCTCTCTCCTCTCCTTTCTAGGACAAGCTCAAGACAGGATAGGTGAGTGCTGCCTGTTGTGTGGGAGACTCCTTGACCCTAGAGTGCAGGCTGAGAGCGGCGAGTGTTCTGTGTCCCTGGCCCCAGCCCTCCTCCTTGCCAGACACACAGTCTGCTGCTTTGCTCCTTCTCTCCCCCTTTCTCACTTGCCTTCTTCTGGCACAATTGCTGTTCCACAACACCTTGAACAGGAACGCAAAGGCAGAAGTCATGGGCTTTGTTAAGTAGTCCAGTCCTTCAAAGTGGGAGTCCACCATTGCCAAGGGGAACACTCCTCATATGACCCACGTCACCTTCCCCAGATACACTGGATGGCAATATCTCCCTCCTAAAGAGCCTGCTCCCTCCTTCACATGCTTCACAACATGCCCTTTGGCAATGCCCTTCCTAAAGCTACAGGCTCCTTATAGATGGTTCTTCCATCTCCTCTTGGCCACACCAGCCTCTCGCAATTCCTCAATTAGCCATGCTTCCAGAAGCTCATGCACCATCATGCCTTGCATCTGCTGAGAGTCAATGGCTGCCTTCACTCCTGCAGAGTCTCCAGGCTCCACGTTGGGCTCACGCCGTGGGCTCCTCATTCCTGCAGATCTCTTTCCCCCCCAGTAACCATGAACTGAGGCAAAGAAAGGCTGACTCAGCCACACCCCCACATTTGGAGCCCACATGGGGTGTGAGCCCACTGATCTCGCTTTCCTAACAGCCTTTCCCCTTCCTTTTACAGCCCAGGTGCAAGAAGAGAATGGTAAGTGTTCTCTGCTGTCTGGGGTGTTGCTATTCCAGAGGGAGAGGCTCCTTTCAAGAGGCACATGCTGCTGTCTGGGACAAGGATTCTCCATGAGGACCATGAGAGTGGTGTCCTTGGACATGCTATAAAGGGAGCCCATGATCAATCAATATTGCTGTGTCCTCAGGTGTGGCTGCAAGCTCTGAAAAGGGCTTGACCCTAAAAAAAAGCTCATTTGGGAAGGAGGGAAGTTGGATGGAATGGGAAAGAGACAAGGAAGGAAGGAATGAAATAGCTGTGGTGTGGAGGACTCTGATTTTCAGTGTGGACAGAAGTCCCCTTCTGTGAGGTCTTTAAAGTCCAGCTGGGTGGCATGGGCAAGTTGCCCTTCTTTTGCTGTGAGGCACCAGGCGTCCTGAAGGTGTTCAAGGGTAAGGCTTGGCCTTAGCACACACTTGCACGAGTCCATGAGTGTACTTGGCTTCTCAGGAGGATACTAACTCTAGTAAGCACCTTCACAGGTGCCCTATGCAATCCATCGTCCCTCAGCTTTAACTTCCTTTCTTCTTTCCTTTTCAGGACAGCTGAAAAAGAAGTTAGGTGAGTGCTGACTGGCATATGGGAGGCTGCTTATCCCTAGAGTGCAGGGTGGGAATCGGGAGCGTTCTGTGTCCCCAGACCAAGCCCACTCCCCTGCTGGACACAAACAGAGCCTGCTGCTTGCCTTCCTCTCTGCCCCTTGCCCTCCTTCCCTCACCTGGCACCACTGCTTTGGACCGGTGCCTTAAAGAGGAACACACAGGCCAAGATGTCTTAGGCTTTGTTAAAGGGTCCAGTTCTTCAAAGTGGGAGTCCACCATTGCCAAGGGGAACACTCCTCATATGACCCACGTCACCTTCCTCAGATACACTGGATGGCAATATCTCCCTCCTAAAGAGCCTGTCCCGCGCTACACGTGCTTCACACCATGCCCTTTGGCAATGTCCTTCCTGGAGCTACAGGCTCCTTACAGATGGTTCTTCCATCTCTTCTTGGCCACACAGAAAGAGTCCAAAGCCTCTTGCCTCACCAGGCCTGCAGGACTTCCACTGTCCAACACATCTGGGGAGTTCTCTGCTACAGCCTCTCCAGCTTCTCTCTTTCTCTTGAGAACTTGGCAGCCCCCAGCTGATCTCTTGATGT